TCCCATAAACTCAGATCCAACACATTTGAAATGGAAGAGAACCTAATTAGAATGCCATTGTGCCTATGTGTTTTACACTCTTTTACTGTTTAACAACTAAAATTACTGTTACTGTGTACAGTATACACATAGGACACCTGCACACAAGACAAAATACTTTGTATTCACTGCTGTATGATAGACGTCTGCATGCTCAACACTGTTATTGCTGTGGGTTTTGTTGTTAAACTTAGCCCCAACAACAAACTGCCTGGCTCTGACACAGTACACATACTCACACTGTAAAGTACAGCCAATGTTCTATCATTTGATATTTCAGAGTCTGGTATTTGAATATCTCAAGACCAGAAATTACAGCGATAAAACTCTCTGTGTCCCTAAACTTAATGCATTCCTGACATACTTTTGAGCACACAGAACAGCTGTTTACACATATGGAATTTCTTTAGTACATTGGTAAAAGTTTTAAATTCATGTATAAACACAATGGCTATGAGGCAGGCAAAGGCAATAAGCACAGAATCCCAACCACATTTTCCTATTTACATTGACCTAAACATACTACAGGGTTTGTACGGAAATGGAAATCCTGGAAAAGTCATGGAATATAGAAACTTGGTTTTCCAGGCCTGGAAAAGAAATGGAAATTAAGAAGTGCTGGAAAAATCATAGAATTCCTGGACTTCCCCCCAATGCGATTGGTTTCATCGCAAGTAAAGCAGTGAAGAGTCTAGGTCAGAAAAAGCACAGAGACTAATGTATCTGCACATGGACCAGCTTTACTAACATATTAATGTTAATCTAGGTTTGCTAAGGTGTAACATTTAGGACGTGTGTGTTGTGGAAGATGTTTTAACATTCGTCTTCACACTGAAGAAGATGAAATAACAAGGCAAATATAAGAGGAAGAACATACCAAGACGCATGACTAGCTTCTTTAATGTGAGTCAAGCCAGGTTTATACTGTGTATGTAAGAAATGACGCGATCGTGGCGCCTGACATGCACGGCCAGCCTATTCAGGACGTCAGTGCAGTCTCTGCTACGAACATATTTTGCTGGTTTTATAAGCAAAAACAGCAAACCACGTACTGATGGGCAACAAGAGTTATACTTAATAAATTTTAGCTTTGTTATACTGATAGTAATAATAATGTAATTAATTATAGTAATTTTCAAAATAAGACCTGCCACAACGATAAGACATAATGTCGGGTTTATTCGCAGAAAAAACAAACAGGCTACCGCTGAAACTTCTGAAAACCATACTGAAGACGATTAGAACTATTAAAAATAAAACCTGATGGTTTTGCTTCCTAATGGGAATTGGCTTAATGGTTACCATTAAAAACCACTAGTTTCCTGTAGGACACCTTTAGATCCCATTAGAAAATGATCAAAAGTATCTGGAATCAGTCCCAGAACAACTGTTAATTGATTAGAATCCTTTACACTTTGACATCTATCCATAAAGAAAACACAAGATACCATTACTGTCAAAGGCCTTTTGGAAACATATGCATGAACATGTTAATAAAACTTTAGTCATAATACTTGACCAGAAAAAAACACCAAAACAAAAAAGGCAACAGTTTTACCCATTTTTTTCAAGTTTCTGCCAATGGGAGGACTCAAATCTGGACACACATGCATATTCATATTAGGAATTACTTTACATATTACAGCCAACAATGAAGTTTAAAGCCTGTGAATGTAGCCCCTTTATTTTATTTGAATTATTTATAGTAAGTGAGCTGATGCTCACCTGTGGCTACTGAGCCGACGTCTGCATCCTGCAAAAATACAACATGCCCACTCGGCTTATTTGCCTGCTTTTTAAAGGATAGTGCAGTAAATGGAGGCAAGTTTTTTTTTATCGAGATAATTATAAGTTGAGCTTATAATTATTATTAAATTTAAGCACAGAGTTATTTTATTTACAAAGCACATTCCATACCCTTAGTTTTTCACTGCTTGACTGTAGACTTAGCAAGAACAGGGGTATCTAGTGTTATCTACAATGTGGCTGCAGGTTTCTTATCAAGCACACCTGATTCTACTGGTCTATTCAACTTGTCTCAGTCTTCACACTGATTAGCTTTAAAAAGTGTGCTCGTGCTATGTAAAGAAAACCTGCAACCACATCACTGAAACTGTTTAGAATAAAAACCTGAAATTATGGAACATTAATGTATTGAGCAAAACAACAGATCCGTTCTCTGAGATCGAATTATCCGTGCGTGGGTCAGATTTCAGTTTCACTCGCAGTCATTCCATTTAAACTGCATTTTTACTTACTAATATTTATATATTAAGTTAATAAGGATAACGTAGGTTTTTTCCTGCCTATATATTAAATTTGTGCTGTGGTTACTGATAATTCAATATCATGGTATTTTCAAGCATGTCACAGTACCATGCACAGGTGAATTTAAAGTTTAACATGAATAAAGTTAATGAACTTGTGCAACCCAGGTTCCCTTTTTTATGGATTTTAAGCAAATGAGTTAAATGTAAACCATCAATCATACCATGAGCAAAGTGCACAAAGTGCATGTTCCTTATCTATCAAATACATCACAAAAAATATCACTAAAACAGAAAATGGTATGTCAGTATCATGGTATACTGGCATAGATGAGATATCGCCCAGCAATCTGGTATGGAAATTTGATGTTATATCCTGGAACAGTCATGGAATTCCACTGTTTAAAAAGTGTACGAACCCTGAGACTAATTTTAATCTAAGTACAGACTGGGACTCGTACATAACAGTTCTTTATGTTCTATAAAATTTGCAAAACAAAGCTAACAAAATGCATCATTTAGAAATATAATTTCCGTCTCTGTAACTCACAGAGTGGAGACATTAAAAGACATTTTTACTTACTACAATAATTTCTGTTCAATTGATTTTAATCATGGGCACTTTATGACACAAAAAATGATGAAATAATAATTAGGGTAAGAGTGAAGCAGCTATTATTAACTAGAGATAAGCAGCAAAATTCTCTATTAAATCTAATGTCAAAAAATGCAAATTGGTCCCTGCAAAATAAGACTCCAGCGATAGACAAGGAATAAATGTGCTATAGCCACAATAAAGGTGGTTCACATCACAATAATAGATTTGTACATTTTACTATAGCTGAGAGCTGAAAAATATCAAGACAACACCAAAACAACAACAAACTTCATAAACTCCATAAATATTACTGTTGTACTTTTCTTTGAGTTATCAGAAGGTCATTTTTAAACATTTGCTCATTAACTAATTTGACATAGCTGACAGAAATCAGCTTTGCCTCAGGGATATTTCCAGCACCAAGCTTGTCAAATAATATCTTTTAAATCATATTACTTGAATGATCTTTACTCTATCATTCCCCGGAGGCAAAAGATCAACTACTTTCCATTGACAGTCAGTTACTGGAAGAAATATAGTCATAAATACATCTATAAAATAACTGTGAATATAAGGGACAATACAGTGCTATGAAAGAGTATTTGCCTCCTTCCCAGCTTATTCTATTTTGCACATTTGTTGCAGTTTCAGATCATCAGACTACTTTTAATATTAGACAAAGATAATGCAAGTAAACACAAAATGTTGTTTTTAATGGTGATTTCAGAAACTGAAGAAAAAATGCTGGCCAGCCTTATCTGGCTCTATGTGAAAAAGTAATTGCCCCCTTAGCTACTAAATCAACCAGTTAACCAAATTCAATTGACTACTGGGTTCAGTTTCACTAGCCACACCCAGGCATGATTACACTGTAAAACTGTCTGTGAAATGTATGGGGAAATACTGTTAAAAGCAACAGTAAAAAAACTGTAATTAAAATGGAAATTTACCATTTCTGAAATATCAAAAGACCTTACATAGTAATAAGAACAATTTTGTGATTTTTACAGTAACGATTTGAAAATCTATTCAAGTTTTGCTGTAATAAAAACTACCGACCTTGCAACACTGTCATGTGTTAAAGAAACATACAGACAAGTTCACATGCCCAAATCATTGCATATATGGACTTCACTTATAGGTCAATTGAGTTTTCATAAAAAACCCAAAACTACTTACCAGTAATAATTTGTCTCTGAAGAAAGTCTTGTTAGGTAAATAGCAGTACATTACTGCAAAAAATGGCATTTGTTGAAGTTACCATTTGGTTTTCAGTGTTGTTCAGCTTAAAAGTTGTCATTAGTTGGTTTCTAATGGCCATTTATTTACAGAAAATACTTTTTACAAGTATGATGAATTGCATTATAGTATTTTCAGTTTTCAATTTCATACTTTAAGGTATTTCTGGCAATCATAGCTGCCTGTGTTTTACAGTAAGGTTGCTGTATTTATAGAAAACTTTGTTATATAGTGTATGGCAATACTGTTTTTTATACAGTATATATCTGGCAATGACAGCTGCCAGTGTTTACTGCAAATTTCACTGAAAAATATTGTCTAGTACACAGAAATACCACATATTTAATAGCAATATTGTAAAAGGAAAAAATGTCGTGCCCATTACTTTTACAGCAAAAAATCTGTACTTCAAAAGAAAGAGCCGTTATCCACATATGCAGAAAACTTGGAACAGTGGTGAACCTTCTCAGGAGTAGCTGGCCTACCAAAGTTTCACCAAAAGCACCTCGACAAATCATCCAGGAGGTCACAAAAGAACCCAGATGAACATCTAAAGAACTGCAGGCCTCACTTGCCTTAGTTAAGATCAATATACACGATTCCACAATAAGAAAGACACTGGGCAAAAATGGCATTTGCATTTGCCCCAAAACATTTAAATGACCCTCAAGAGTTTTGGGATGACATTCTGTGGACTGATAAGTCAAAAATGAAACTTTTTGGAAGACATGGGTCAGCATTTTGTGTTTACTTGCATTGTCTTTATCTTATTTATCTTATTAAAATTAGTTGGATAATCTGAAACATTTAAATGTGACAAATTAGCAAAAATAGAAGAAATTGGGTGGGAGCAAAAACTTTTTCTTTTGCAGTGCAGTTCAGAAGAGTTCTTAAGTAAATCTAAAGTATTTTTAAATGTCGGGCAATGTCCCAAGTCACTTGGAATAGCTGAAGCAAACTTTTAAATGCAACATTATTGTGACAGGACAGATTTCTAGCATAACAGAAAAATAAATGTCCATGCTAATTCAGTTTTTGTTGGTTCAGATGTGTTCAAAAGGGCATATGTCCATGGTTCATCTTCTCTGTGTAAAATCACAGATGTCATCATTTTTGGCTTGTATTGCTCTGTACTTTAGTCATTACATGTAGGCCAAGCTCTTGTTCAGACACCTCTGAGACTGCTGAGAAAAACACGGGGGTACTGGCTGATCCCTCCCCATCCTGATGGCTCCCACTTTGGTTCTGGGCACTGGGACTCACCCTAATCTCTGTCACAAGAGGGCTGGTAATACCCAAATTGGTCAGAGCATCCAGAGTGCCATCAGGATCCAGCATGATGTCAATGACTGAGAGTTGGACATAGAAAACAGCGCTGCTTACTAAATAACTTAAAAATACACCATGAAGTGTGTTACATGTAAGAATCAGTAGCTGTTTGAATTGAACCAGCATCATCTTTTATAGCTAATTATTACATGTTGAATAAAAATTTTACATATTAAAAGTAAAACAATGACATCTTACAGTAATAAGTAAAATGACTCCTTTTTGCTTACCCAACAGCTGTCTCTCAACTTGCTTCAGGTCTTTAAGGATGGAGGAGATCTCCTGCCATATCACAAAGTGGAAAAAAGATCAGAATTAGAACAGATAAACATCTGCTCAATAATGAGGCTTTTTTGGACAAATCTCATAGAATGTTGGTAGACATACAGAATTTGGACAATTTAACCATTTAAACATTGGTAAGTTAAATTCTTCAAATTAATTTAGGAAAGCCTGGAGAAAAATTCAAACCAGGCTACTACAAGATCCCCTCAGGCACAGTGCTCTGGAATATTATGTCTATCAAAGCCAACTGTGTTTTGTCTGTAGCTTCATCCTCTCATCATCTTGTCCTTCTGCTTCATCATGCTGTGTAAGCAGACCTTGTATTTGCCTGTTTCTATCTGTCAGGTCTTGAGTTTATTGTTTTTGATTTCTTATGTTACCTTGTCTGTTTCTACCTACTTAGTGTCCGCTTATTTAATAAAATTAAAAACTTACACTCACATCTTTTTGCAACTAATCCTCATTTGTCTCAGTTGCCATAGTTTTGATTCATTTTTGATATTAATAATATGACGTTTTAACTCCTGTGTTGATACACAGTGCCTCATGAGGGAATGGTTTATCCTACAGTTACCACTGAACTCATTGAACTCATGGACATTCATAGGATTAAAAATATTATATTTTATTATCATCTTATGACTTTTACACAATACACAGTGCCAGAGCATGTGAATATGTCAGTGTAGTACACGGAAAATGGAGAGGAACCAATACATACTGGTTCTGTTGTTCCACAAACATCTTTAAAACAGACAGAATTGCTAATTAACGTCATGAAGATGTTCATATTGCAGCATGCAGTGTTTCCAAAGAACTCACACAAGTTAAAGATTGAGTCCATAACTCAGATTTACTGAAAAACTCAGAACAGCATACAAAAGAAGAGGGGAGAATATCGTGCTAGGCTAGCACTCAGCTGCGCGCTGTTAGCACGCCCTCTTACTAAGTCCTGTGACGCACTGCCACCGTGCACAAACAGCCCTTCAGAATAAAAGTCACTGTGAAAGGATAAATAACAAATGAACCACGCAGACTAAAATCAACATGTAAATTTGAACCAAGCAGAATAGACAGGCCACATATTAATAGAATCACACAACGCTTGTGAGAAACACAAACTTCTTACTACTCTTAAAACCAAAAAGGTTTACTGCAAATAAGTAAGCACCAAACCAAATATTTAAGCTACTTTACAACGAATTCATAAGTAACAGCATCTGCAAATCCGTTCTGTTTCACCACAGATAACAGCTGCATGTTTTACACGTTAGTCTAAAAAGATATGATGAAAGATAGTTTTAGTCAGTCAGTCTGTGGCCTAGTTGCATTTTGTCACTCAGCCAGCTGTGTTTTTTGGTTTATTTTTCAACTTTTTTTTGTGTACATTTTAATGCAATAAATATCGTCTGACATTAGGAGAATGAGTTTAACTTAGAAAGAGTTTCACTTTTGTTTACTGTTTACTCAGTACACTATTTAGGTAATCTAATTTCTTTTTCCTTCTTTGGTGACTCCTCCTTGTGTTTCAAGCGATTGAATGTTCATTATATACGTCAAGCTTTCATGCAAGGACGTGCAGAGACCCTTAGAGGGGCAGGTGCTCAAAGTTAAAATGTAGCACATGGACCAAAATGACAAAACACCAACTATAGCATAACTCCTTAACTACAGCAACAACCAGTATTCGAAAAGAACGTCACAAAAAATAGCTACATTAGACTGTATTACACTGTTATTTTATGAAGTGTTATTATAATTATTTCAATATATGCTAAGTCAACTGTGTAATGTAAATAACACTACTGTCAAATACAAATATCACAAGCTTGACACAAAATAATAAATTATGAACAAAATTATTTTCACAAAAACAATGTATAATTCTGACTGCTTAATCTTGATTTTCATTGCAAGCTGACAGACAATAAAGTGTGATAAACAAACCAACAAATGAACACAAACTCATGGGTTAACTGAGTTTAACCTGCTACCACAAGACTATAACAGAAAACAGAAAGGCTATAACAGAAAAATATTTCTTAAACGGATGACGAGAAAAATAAAACACTCCACTTGCAATGTAACAATGTTTAACAATGAGTTAAAAAGGCCATCAGTCCTGCTGTTCCACTAAAGTGTGATCAGCTAATTTACTTCAGGCACTCCATGAAGTAAGTGCACAGCTAGTGTTGTCAAGGGTATTAAATTGTTACATTATTAACAGTTTCATATAAACATTGATTTTGATCATTCAGCAAAGACTGCTACCAAACCTTTTTATTGCATACCAGCTAAAATTACACTAGGGTTAAAAATCTATTTTCACACACACAGATTAGTATTCAGTCAAACAAGCCCATATTATAAACTAAACATCAAATGGAACGACTCACCTTTGACCAGTTATTGATAGCTGATGAGCGGATGGCAGTGTTAACCACACAGATTAATCCATATATGATTTATTATATATATTTATTTATGTTTGGTTTTATTTCTGTTTTGTCTTTACAAATGCGCAGAAAACATCATCCTTCAGTCCATCAGGTTATCTGGTGCACCATATCTGGAGTTTTACATTCAGAATCTGGCTGAACTGAAGATGTGATTGAACAAATTGCAGATAGAAATGACTGCTAAGCTGTGATTGGAGGACCAAGAAAACCAGGCAGGGCTTGAGAGTGGTGCATCAAAGACAGTGAGTGCGTTTACATGAACTTAATAATCAGATAACTGCAGAAATCTGACTGTGATCAGATTATTGAGTGCACTCAGTGACAGTGAGTAACTACACCCTAAGATCTTTTTTTCATTAACAACTGAACTGCTTTGCTCTGTAATAATAAAATATGCCAGCCTTTTTATATTTTGAACACATCTTTCCAAACTTTAAAAATAACATTTTTATTAAGGTCGGTTCCGCCTCCCCAGAGCCCCTATGGTTCAACTCTGCCATAGACAAAGATGACATGTCATTGCATGCCAAATCAGTTAACCAACATTACCGACCCATTATGATGCCCTACTCCTGTCGCCCCCTAAATAAGACAACCATTGGAGACTAGAGCAAGGGAGAAGTTCGGCACCGTTTTGGCTTCTTTTCTATACATATCGCCTCATGGCATTCAGCTTGTTATTAAGTCTTCTAGTTAGTTATTATTGTTAGTTCTGAGTTATTGTGTTTGTAGATATTGTAGTTTTTAGCCTTTTAGTCTTAGCTAGGTTATTTAGCTAAAGTTAGTCAGTTAACTTAGCTAGCCATATTTACTATGTAGTCTTTTAAATTTGGTCTTTCAAGTTTAGTTTTCAATAAGTTTAGTATTTTGAATTTAGCTTTTTCTGGTTAAGAGCAATGGATCAAACAGGTGCTTACCATGATGTAAAAGCAATATAGGATTGCACACATTTCGCACTAATCCAGCACTGGCCAGACAGTGAATGCATGACCAGTTAGGTCCCAGTACCATCCTAGTATCAAGACCATCAGCATGCATGTTTGCAACGCACACTTTGAAGAGGGGAGCTTTGCCTGCTTTATAGACCACTGTTTCATTTTGTAGTCAGCGCCATGCTATTATGCCCATATAAGGAACTCTGGGTCTAAAAGGAATTACTCTATGTATGAATGGAGTTTTTGAAAATTGCCTCTTTCGCATCCTTTGACAATCAAAAATGTTGCAAAGCTGACACGCTTTGTCCTATGAACATTCTTCTCTCGAACATCACTGGATCCTCTAAATAACAAGGTCATTAAAGAGTAGAATATAATTTGCTACATGTAAGGTAATGCTACCGCGAACTGAATTAGTGTCATTAGACTGGCAGCTTCCCCAAAAATCACACAAACCAGCACATTTTGCCAGTGTGGCAGTGTATTTCAATGTACAGACAGAGGGCAATTGAAAAAAAGTCAGAACAAAAGAAGCAAGTTCCCTGCAGTTCTCTGTTCTTCATCTGATATTCACTAAAACATGACAGATCTTTATGTTCTGTTCACAGCTTGATTTGAAAAGCTCTACCAACTGACCTGCACTCAGGCTGATTTAGGATATCAAAATATCCTAATTATTATTTTAATGCTGGTTACATTTTCTGAGGACATTTTCTCAGGGCATTCACCTTTTCAACCTTTTTGTTCAAATTTTCCCATTCCACCTTTTCCCATTCCAGGTGGAACGGGAAAATTCAAACAAGCAGCTGGCGAAAAAGAAGTTGACTTCATTTTCATGGAGAGTTGAAAGGCATGATATAAGCAGGTTGCTCTATTTCTGCTTGACAGCTAAGTAACAATAGCTTATTTTAGCTATTTCACAGAACCAACAGGTCATTATTATTTTGTCCCTTTGCTAATGTTAAAGCTAAGCACAACTGCTGCGCCATTTAAGATGTAACGGGAAAATTAGGACAAGAAGCTAGCGATATGGAAGCTGAATTAAGCCTTGTTTAAGGCTTTCAAAATATCTTACCCAAAGATTTTGTATATAGGCATACCGATAAAAATGGGCTTCGGGGGCTCCCGTGTGGCACATTCATCTAAGCCTTGGTCCTATCATCAGGAGGTTGTGAATTTGATCTCTGGTGATGCTACAGCCACCCGTGGCCGGGAGCCTTGGGTTATACCAGCACTTTTACTTCCTGCCTCAGTACTGACCACTTTCAAGTGGAACCAGCATACCCAAACCAAGCTGTTAAAACAGCATGATTACAGTGCAACACCGGACCCGCAGCCTTGGACCTGTTCATTATGAAAAAAAAAGGAACTTGAAGAACTAAAGTGCAAAACCTAAAGGCAAAACTTTGGTCTGCAACAATTTGCTGGATCAGACGTCAACATTCGTTTTTATACAAGATGAGTTCATTATTCATTATTAGTTAACTTTGTGTTTGTCAAACCAGTCATTAAGGGTTCCCAGACAGTTGATATTTTTGCGCTAATTTGACACCTGTATCTGGTACTCTGTGTTATATCTTGATGAAACAGAGCAGTTTAGTGTTTTTCCAAGTTTAGCAGGAGATTTGAAAATCACCAAACTGCACTGGACACAGGCCTGCATTATTTTGGTAATACTGCACATAATTAGACAGCCTGTTTAGACAAGGGTTTCTTAAATCAGTTCTTGCACCTTAGCAGATAGTCCTTGCTTTTGCTGTAACCCAGCTCCCAACACACCTTTACCATATTTAGTGTTCTTAATGTCTTGGTTCAGGTGTATTGGGGGTTAGGATACAGCAAATATATTGACTGCCTGCTAGGGAGCAAAGACTGTTTTAAGAACCACTGTTACAGAGTATTACCTTTGTTAATTGGAAAATGTTTTTATTTGTTCCAATACAGTAGTTATGCTGATCACTTACACCACATATCTATCTAGATTTGCCTCCTATGACTATCTAATGGAGTCTTGTTGAACCATCAACATCAAAAATTATTTGTGTAAGTCAGGCATGTGGAGGCTCCCAGTTGTGTGCCCCTGTGGAAGCCCACCACCGTCAGCCGAATCACTATGACATGGGCCAACTACCTTTACAACCTGCTGGGATCTGTGTGCGTCTGGATGCCGACAGAAGTTATAAAGGTTCATCTGCCCAAAGAGTTCTCAAGGTACCCAGACAAACAGGTAGTCAATGACTGCACAGAGCTTCGCTACCAGACCTCATCATCTTTACAGCTGCACAATCAAGTATTTTCAAGTATTTAGGCCCCCCTGTGCTTTCAAAGGTATGCTGGGTATGGCACCACATGGAGAGGTGACATTTATGTTGGCGCTCTATCAGGACTCTATTAGCAACAATGACATCTTCAGGCAGTCAGGCATCATGTCTTTTCTGACACCTCACACGGCCATTAAAGCAGACAAGTTCCTTGCAACGTGCACAGGCTGCTTTACTACACAAGAGAGCAGAAACCCAGCATATTGCACGCCTAAGGGTGCATGTGGAGAGAATGATACAGCAAATTAAAGAAAACAAATTATTTGACCATTATACCCTTCTCCCTTACAGGAAGCATCAACCAGATGTTCACTGTGGCATGTCTTCTCTCCAATTACCAGAATGGGCCTCTGGTCAAAAAATGGGCATTAATTGGTTGAAAGGATGAGTGATGGCATTGGCAGTGATGGACAAAGGCCATGTAATTAAGTGAAAGAAGAGATATATTTGGTAAAATATTTGCGTTAAAGTCCTCTAACTGTATTTCTGCTCGAGTTGAAATTGCTTTTAAATGTAATTAAATGTCAAAAGAAAAATAAATGTGAGCTTGTGTTATTCTGATGAATTCATTCTATTATGGAGACCTTTGTGGCTGCAGAAATGACCAGCCAACTCACAATTTCCTTTCTGCAGCCACACAGATCTCCTTAATCAGAATAACTAACCTCTCAATAATATAACTTTTGATATTTAAGTATGCTTAAAAGCAAGTACCTAGGTACTTATTCAAGTGGAAATACAGAAAGAGGACTTTTGCCCAAAATATTTTACCAAGGGTACAGGATTTCATGCACGTACAGGATTTTGAACAGACTTTGTCTGTAACTGTTTATGGGCTTTGTTATTATTTGTTTTGTTATTATTGCTAATGCAGAAATATATTGGAAGCCACTGGTTCCTAGCCTTAGTCCTGAATTCCCTCTCACTGTGTTTTCCTTCTGTCTAGTCTAATCAAGGTAATGAGCTAATGCAAGCCTTCATGAGTTGAAGTAGGTGTTCTAAAGAAGGGAAAACTGCAGGGCAGGGGTCCTCCATGACCAAAGTTGGGAATCTGTGGTAAAGCGAATATTTGAGGCTACATATGCATAATGCATCTTTTCCATGTATTCACTTTTCTTTTCCTGTACACTTTCTGCAGTTAAAACTATGACCACTTTGCTTTTACAAATAGTCAGTCATCAGGTGAAACATTTGTACTTGAAAATGAATATAAACAATGACAAGCAAACTGCAAATACATCCATTTATTTTGAAACAATTAAAATGCTTTGTGATCATCACTCTTTCTCTTTTGACAGTTTTTAATAACTCCAAACCATCAATTATAATGGCAATCAGAACTGTGCCAAAGACATGTTTCACACATTTTGCTTTCTGTAGCTACTCATTGGGCTTACATAAAGCTTTAAAAAATCTGAATTAAACCTAAATCAAAACACAAAATATAACATGTAATATATAGCATTAGGTCTAAAGTTTCCTTTTAAACTTCAGCCACATGCAGGACAGAGAGGTCTGGCAGATCTCCAGACATCGCTTTGTACAGAGTGCTCCTGTGAACAACAACCATTTATATCATAGTGTTAACTCCACTATTTATCCATTTGGTATTACCAGCATTATTAAATAGGCATGTCAACACTCATATCTTACCGTACACCCTCAAAAACTGCTCTTTGCTTAGGTCTTGCTAAGAGTACAGCCATTTTATCCACAGGTCCTGGCTTAACACCTAGGCAAGATACATATCCTATGTCAGTGGTTCTCAGTCTTGCTACTGAAAGCCCCCTGATTAGCACATTTTAGTGTTTTCTCCACTCTCAATAAATCCTGTTTAAACTAATCATCGCATTAGTGGGCACTTCTTAGGCTAATTTAGGTGTGTTCGAGCAGAGAAAGCACTAGAATGTGCTGAGCAGAGGACCTTAAAGATCAGAGTTGAGAATTACTGTTTATACTTATAAACTGCTAATGTGCATGGTTAAATAACTCACAGACTATACTAGTAAGTATTTTATACTAATATGTTCATATGTAAGTTATTTTAACAGTGTGTGCTTACTAGAGTTTGTTTATGCAAAGCAAGAGCCCTGTTACGTTGAATAGGTATATTTACTGGTCACTTTATTTGTTACTATTTTTTCAGGTCAACTTTGTAGTTCAGGAATTACAGATTGCAGTCTATCTGTTCATCTGCATGCATTGTATGTGATCCCCAATAAAATGGGCAGAATGTATTCGTTAATATATTTTTAATAGTTGGCTGATAAAGGCTACTTCAGGGTTGCCTAGCCCTGCAACACTGACCTCCAACTTTAGGCCAGTGTTTCCAGGGACCTACATTTCTGAACTCGTCTTACAGTAACAAGTCTGATTCGCCTCAATTTGTGATTAGCTGATGAGTGGAAGCGTGTTAGCTAAGGTAGAGCCAGGAAGTAGGATTGGGAAATACTGCGCTAGCTAACATTTTAATCAGTTAGAGCCAGCTGTGTTGTCTATAGTTGCAACCAAACTTTGCATGAGGGTAAATATAAAACATTGTCTGAATAGTACAATGAAACTTCCTTTCTCATCTGCTTTGCTTGATTTTACATGATCTGGTAGGCACGTGGTGCTACATGTATGTCAGTTCTGTCAGTATATTCAAGTAAGAAGGGAAGCTTCATTCGGTTGTTCAGATACAGCCACAGAACAGGGATAGCAACCCTGGGCTAGAGTATTATATCCCAAGTTTGGAATATTATAACTTACCAAAGTTCTTGGCTTGTGCCATTGCTGGTCACTCTCTGTGCAGCTCAAGACAGGAGGAACGGCAGGAATTTGCAGTTGTGAATAATATGCGGTATGATAAAGCAATGCCACCACATGGTTGCACAAAGTGGTCCCAGCAACACATGAGCAGGGGCCATAGAGACTGGTCTTGAATCATTTAGAACAATCTGCAAAAATACAGGAAGCAGCACATACATTAATGAGGAAACATTATTAAGTGCAATTCAAACAAAACAAAACTACAGCTACTTACAACATACAATCTGTCAGGGAAAAAACACTGTACATAGCCTAAAGTGTTGTGCAACATTTTTGTCTAGGTATCATTTTGATACTAACACTTCAACAGCTCCTGCAGTATTTACAATAAAGTAAATCAGGTAACATCTGAACAAAAGACATCAGTTTCTGGGGATTGTTGCCTTTAATGTTTACTTTTCATAGCTGAAAAAATAACAAAGCCATTCTCTCTTTGCCTTTACACCTTGGTTTACGGTTTGTGATAGTTAATATCAGTCTGTTTAACAGACAAATACGACAGCTTAGCACTTAGTTTTCTGAATTAGTTTTTGTTTGGTTTAATATGCTAGAGCAAACACCTAGATTTACACCTAGCTTTGTGCTAGCGCTGACACAGAACACTTACCTTCATAGTACATAGTAGATGTACATCTTGAACACTTTTTCTTTTTGCTTGAAGAAGCCACGGTTAATGTCTTGACGATGCAATGAACATCGTTGTCCATCATTTGAAAAGGGTCTTGCAAACATCCCATGTAAAACGTCATTGTTGACAAACCAGCGTCAAAGTCCATCTGTGCTAGCGTTGTTTTGCTAACCGGAAATGAAACAAAAAAGCGTGTTTCCACCGGCGGAGAGCAATACGAAAAGTATTTCCCAGTAAAATGCTGCCAGAATCAGTTTTTGTACGAATTCTGTTCACTGTGATATAACATTATTTCTGAAATGTCAGTTCTGTGTTTGTTGTGCTTATTAACCACCGTAACCATGAAGCTATCGTGATGACTATATTTTTATTTTCACGAGCGGTGGTTAATAAACCCTTTCGCCTCCCGTAGTTCCAGTGTTGCCTGGCGTTGGTTTCTGTTTGCTGAATGCGCGTGCCCGAGAATCTGATTTCTCAAAGGAAACATGATTTCCAGGGGGAACTGAATCGGATACAACACCGGTAGAGCGTTACGTGCACTGAGCCAATTGGCCTCGCTCTCTGGGTGGATACGACAACAAGCCTTCCAGTGCGAGATACAGTTGCTGGACTGGAAAACAATTAAGAAGTTCACGGCACCTGCAATCATACAAGCGTTTTAGACCATCATGTACCACTGTAGTTCCAGCTCCAGTCCTGGAGCCCCCTCTGCTCTGCATAGGTTTGTTCTATATGATAAGCTAGCTAGCTAGCTGGCTACCTTAGTTGACGCTGTAAAACACAAGAAAAAATTGAGCCAACTCGAAACCTTTGTAATTTTTATCAGTAAATAAACTATTAGATGGCATCATCTACATATGTCGGTTCTCTACCACATTGCATGCCAAACTTGCATGTCTCTCTGACATGTCTAAAGAAACTCAGCTTATCAACACTGCAATGTCATGGATTCAGTTGTAACTCACATATTTAGGTGAGAAGTATTAGCTTTTTCTTTTAACTTTGCCACATTTGCGAGTTTCGAGTGGTATTTTGTGAGTCAGCTTGGTGGTTATGTGATGTTTACCCATGCCTACTGATATTTTATTTATTGATAAAAGAAAAAAACAATAAGATAGTAATAGTATAATGACATTTTCTTTTTTAGGGAAGATGGCATGCCAGACTGATTCAACTGGCCTGCATGATGTCTTTGTCCAGGCACATGTGAAACCATCCAGAAATTCAAAAGATAGGTTCAGAGATTGAGAGCTCACTTGTATCTGATTGTGCATTGTGTAGGTAAGAAAGTCTGCATCATTATTATTTCTATTATGAAATGTGCAGCTAGTCATGTTTCAGGAACAAGAAATGAAGTACAAACAAGGTAAGAAATGGATTTCATAATATTTACTATCTAAGTGGAAATTCCACTTCCGGCGCCGCTTGAGGTGGCTGCCTGTTCCAGTAGCTCCGTGTCTGCGTCTTCTATTTTTTTTTGTAAATAGTGTCTCTTTACCCACTTTCTTTCTTTTCTATTTCTAGTCTAAAGTTGTTATACAACTTTTTTTAAACTTGTATTGACTTTAATGGATCATTCAACAGAACTTTCAAAGTACGACTGCACCGCGTGCCCTCGCTTTGTCTACACGAGGAATCAGCTGATCGCGCTGAGTGGCCAGTGATTCCAGCGGAGCTGAGACGTCCTTACTGGGGCTGCAGAGTGGGAAAGAAACAGCAGGAAAAGAAGCGGTGATATAAACCAAATCTTCCTGCAGTAATTATGGGGAACGTACGGTCACTGGCTAATAAAATGGAATGCTGTAACACGGACACAATGGGAATACCGGGAATGCAGCATTTTGTGCTTCACTGAGTCATGGCTGAGCCCATGCGTACCAGACTCTCACGTTCATCTCAATGGTTTTACTACTGTGAGGGCGGACAGGGACCGCAAACAAACTGGTAAGAAGAAGAGAGGAGGGCTGGCTGTGTTCGTGAATAACAGATGGTGTAATCCTGGTCACATCACGGTTAAAGAAGTAATTTGTAAGCCGGACACTGAACTGTGTGTTGTAGCTATGCGTACGTACTATCTCCCACGCGGTTTTTCTCACGCCATCCTGTGCGCTGTGTACATTCCACCTTTTGCTAACGCAGACGCAGCGTGTGACGTCATCCATTCGACCATCGCAAGAGTGCAAAACCAGAGCCCTAGTGCATTCATTGCAGTGTCTGGAGACTTCAACCATGTTTCCCTCTCATAATGTCTGCCCACTTTCAGCCAGTTTGGGGACTGCAAGATGAGAGAGAACAAGACTTTGGACCTGCTGTATACCAGCGTTAAAGACGCATACAAATCCACAGCTCTCCCACCACTGTGTCGCTCAGACCATAACCTGGTTCACCTCAACATGTGGTATAAACCCCTGGTTCAGAGACAGGCAGTGACCACAAGGACTGTGAGGAAGTGGTCACCTAAGGCTATAGAATCACTGAGGGGCTGTCTGGAGGCTGCACAATGGGATGTCCTGTGTGAACCACATGGTGAGGACATTGATGCCATAACATCATGCATCACTGACTACATCAACTTCTGTGTGGACTCTGTTGTACCCTCCAGGACTGTCCGATTAGGACTGTCCGTCTGCTGAACCAGAAGAAAGCATTCATGGCAGGAGACAGGGAGGAACTGAAGAGCGTACAAAAAGAGCTTAAAACCTCAATTAAAAAGGCCAAAGAGGGGTACAAGTCCAAGCTGGAAAACAAACTAGAGCTGAATAACTCGTGATGTCTGGAGAGGCCTAAAAGACATCACTGGTTTCAACCAACGCAGCCCTATTCCAGCAGAGGGTAAGTGTGAATGGGTGAATGAGTTAAAACAGTTTTTTGTGCGGTTTGACAATGGCTCCTCTCATGCTCCATCGTGTCTGTCTCCTACACAGATTAACACATCTACACAACTATGCCAGCCTCACCTTCCTCCACCACAGCCATTCACACCTGTGACCATCAGCAACCACTGTTTGCAATGGATGCCTCTCACCCCCCACCCCCCCATTGGAATGTCCAGTGATAATACATTCACTGCTAATCAGGTGAAGAAGGAACTGAAAAAACTCAAGCAGAGAAAAGCAGCAGGACCTGATGGCATTAAACCTAGGGTGCTGAAACTGTGTGTGGAGCAGCTGTGTGGAATTCTTCAGCACATCTTTAATCTGAGCTTTAGCCTGAAGAGAGTCCCAGTTATGTGGAAAACATCTTGTGTGGTTCCTGTCCCCAAGAAAAGGCAACCGATAGCACTGAATGATTATCGACCGGTTGCACTGACATCCCACTTAATGAAGACACTTGAAAGGCTGATGCTAGCTCATCTGAGACCTCTGGTCAGAACAGCTCTCGACCTTCTGCAGTTTGCAAACCAGGGTGGCACTGGAGTGGATGATGCAGTTATCTACCTGCTGGACAGAACGTACTCTCACCTGGACACATCAGGCAGCACTGTGAGGTTCATGTTCTTTGATTTCTGCAGTGCATTCAACACCATACAGCCTGTGCTGTTAGGGGAGAAGCTATGGCTGACACAGGTGGATGAATCTATCATCTCATGGATAATACAGGAAGCTGGTGAAGGACTTTGTTTACTGGTATAAGCTGAACCAGCTGCAGCTAAACATCAGTAAGACTAAGGAGATGGTGCTGGCACCAGTCACTAGTGATGGAGTTGATGTGGAGGTGGCTGGGACCTACAAGTATCTGGGTGTGCATTTGGATAACAAGCTGGATTGGAGCTGTAACAGTCTCACAGTGTACAAGAGAGGCCAAAGCTGTCTCTACTACCTGAGGAGGCTGAGGCTTTTGGTGTGCACTAAGCTCCTGCTTTATTCTATGCTGTTGTGTGCTGGGGCAGCAGCATTAACAAAAGTGCTCTGAACAAAATAAACAAACTTATTAGGAAGGCTGGCTCTGTTGTAGGAGTCAAACTGAACTCTGGAGGTTGTAGCAGAACAGAGGACGCTCAACAAGCTGTTAGCCATCTTGGACAACACCTCACACCCCCTGCATGCTACAGTGGATAAACAAAGAAGCACATTCAGTGGCCGCCTGTTACAGCTGTGCTGTGTTAAAGAGCGCTGTAAAAGATCTTTTTTACCCACTGCTATAAGGCTCTACAATGAGTCTCCTTACTGCAGAGAGAGTACTGATCTTCTGCTGTCTGAACTGAAATCTGTCTCATATGCTATGTAAATATGCAAATAGATATACTTTATTTCTACTCCTATACTTATGTTTATTTTTATTTCTATTGTTATTTTCTGCATAGTATATGTAAGTTTATGTGAAATTATATGTGTTGCTACTGAAACACTGCAATTTTCCTTCGGGATCAATACATTTTTATCTGTCTGTCTGTCTGTCTGTCTATCTATCTATCTATCTATCTATCTATCTATCTATCTCTCTCCTTGCCACTGTGTGGTAGTAAACTATATAAAAAAAAATCTGTTCTAAAAATACCCGATTCTTGTATAGTAAGTGCCTCCTCCTGTTTTCCCAACCAGAGCCTCCACCTGTCTTTATGCCAGCATGCACTAGCAAGAGCCTCTACCTGTCCTTATGTCAGCCTGCACCAGCAAGAGCCTCCTCCTGCCATTATGCCAACTTTCACCCCCAAGAACCTCCACCTTTCATTATGCCAGCTTGCACCAGCAAGAGCCTACTCCTGCCCTCAAGCCTGCCTGCATCAGGGAGCAACAAATAAAGTGTAAACCAAGGTTCATCTCCCAATATGTTGCTATTTTTGCAGCACCTGATTACTTAGCTTAAAACTATATAGCGAAAGCCTCTACCTGTTTGTCAGCCAGAGCCTCTCCTGTTCTTATGCACCCTGGAGGCTGTGGCCCAGGCTTTTTTCAGAAAGACGAATTAGGTAAATCTCAGTGCTACATTCTAGATTGTTTTACTGGACTCTTTGTTAATCCTGCTTCTGGACCCCTGTCCTGTACAGTTTCAACTATTCGCTGCTTTAACATAACTGCTGCAGCTCATGAAGTGCTCGATAATCAGTTGATTAGGTGGAATAGACATATTGATGTCACATTGTTGAAACTGCCCAGGGCAGGGGGATTCCAGGAGCAGGATTTAAAAGCACTGCTTTACTGTATGTCTAAGAGTGTAGTTATGTGTACTGTCTAGTGACTGACTGCTACACTAGTTTGTCTTACTTTTTCTATTTAACCTAGGGGTCATTTAACTCACCTAGGCCTTGTCCAGTGGTGTTATTTCTATTGAGAAAAAAAATTATGGTAATAGGTAATAATTTTTTTGCTTTTTACCTTATTAGGTACTATATTTTATTGTTGCATTTATACCCAGGTAATATTTCAGCTGTTCATTCTGTAAGCAGTTAAACATAGTACATTTAGATTGTAATAGGCCAAATTTTATTGTAAATTTTATTGTGTATGGCCAAGTCATATTGTACCTCTCAAGGCAACATACCTAGTTTTAAGCTACTATGCATTTTAGTTCGCTATGGAATGCGCCCGTGCCCCGGGCCCCTATGACAGCCGCTGCAGTAAACGGTGGATGTATAAGTATTACAACAGAGAAGTGTGTGCCTGTTGTTTTTTGTAACTGTGTTCTCTGAATGTATATCGGAATGTGGTATCTTGTGTGAATGTCATTTCAGTTATTAATAAATAGATAAATGGAATTATACATGCAAATTATTTAAGATCAAGCGGGAGAAGAAATCCTGTGTAAGCTCCATCATTCTCAAGGTACTCCTCTCTAAATCGCAGAAGAGGGGATAACCACATGCATGTGCTGAAATAAAACCTTTATACCCCCCAGCACTGCCCCACACAGTTGCAGTATGCAAGATGTCTGTAACAACTGTAAAGAACTGTAAAAAACCTAATTAAACTTAGTTTGAAATAAAAATGTTATGAATAGCACATTTCATAACATTAAATGTAAGATTAGGTAACCTGCTGGACTGATTAAGTGAAGATTCTTGCAAATCTCCTTGTACATGCTGACAAGTGCCATGAACAACTTGCAGAAGGTAAGGATTTAGGGCCACTGCAGCAAACCCTGGATGACCGGTGAGGCAGTGTATGACCCCCAACCTGTCACATCTGTGAATAACCTGTATGGTATGATACGGTATCTCTGTTATACTTCTCAGGTAAATTGGCAGCATGCTAAAAAGCTAGACTGTGATGCTGGTAATGCTAGAGAACAGCTAACATAAGCTAACTAGCTTAGGTTACAAAGGTTGGCTACCTCCCTACAGCAAATGTTCATAAAGCCTGAGAGCTTTGTACAGTGCTCATGAGAAGTCTGTCATAGCTTGATGTCAAAATTACTGAAACTTATTGAAAATATTTGAAGAAATACACTTTATTCGTTCATAATTCAATACACCTAAGAATTTAGGACTTGGGTTTTACTGAATGTGTATCTTGCTGAACAGATAATTAGAAGCTAGCTATCACGGTTTTAGGGGATTTCCTACCATTCTGACACCTCTCCTACTCACTGCCGATCATTTTCTGACTCTAACTCTTCGACAGCTTGAGTCAGTGGCTCATATTGGTAAGGCTAAGGACACCCTGCCTGGTCAGAAACACCTTCCCCCATCGAGGATAGGTATGGTGATGAAAAAAAATTGTTAACCTCATAAGATGTCTCTGTCCAAAAGTGCCATTTGATTTTGTCACTCTCTGTATTTTCTGGTAGCTAACATCAGCTAGTTATAAGAACACAGCAGTTTCCCTCCAGCCTAGCCCCACCTCTAAACTCGAACATCACTGCAGTGCCCCTCCCATTTTTGAGGATTTTTCAAAGATGAGCTAGGGGTGGAGTTAGCAGAAAATAGTGGGGTGTAGTTACTCTTTGAACATGTAGGAATCATGAATGATGCTAAGTAGTTTCAAATAAAATACTAAAATCAGCAAAGAAAATATTGAGTATGTAAGTTGCAAATACAAATAATGAGAGTTAAATAAAACTTATTTAAAAAAAAAAACATTATTACTCATTTTTCACATTCTGATGTAAATTTAATACTCATTTTGCCTAATTTATTTATTTGGTTTTTTTTTCGATTTTTCTTTCGATATTTTTCTTTCTGACTTTTGGTACTTATTGGGAGGCAGGTCTTGGAAGAGCGCGCTCACCTACACTCTTTATTGGTCAACTGATTTGGAGTGACAGATCTTCTCAACATGTAGCCATGCCCACTCTGAGAGTGGTGATCTTCCTCAAATATGGTGTTGCACTTCGTACTGATATCAATATTGCCAAAAAGGATTATGCTGGCATGTCTGACATTAGGAGCAATATTTGTCATGTTTATTAATGTAACACACATGCAGGATCCTGTGCCGAGCCATGGCTGTATAAAGAAAATGCTGCAGTTTTCCATCGTATTCCAGTTGGAAAGAGTGCCTGTTTGGAATGTAGCTTTCTTGTTTTACACCTTTGTGTGTAATAGTGGTGGTTGTCAAAACTTGAAATTTTAAGGCAGCTTTTGAACTTTTTTGAGTTGAAGCTGATGATATTAGTCCATTTGTTTCTCTGTTATGAGTGGATCAGACACAGCAGTGCTGCTGTAGTTTTTAAACATCTCAGTGTCGTTGCTGGAAGGAGAATAGTCCACCAACCAAAAATATCTAGTCAGCAGCATCCTGTGGGCAGCATCCTGTGACTGGGTGGAATTTGCATGTTCCCCCTGTGTCTGTGTGGGTTTCCTCCCACAGTGCCAAGACATGCAGTCAAGTTAATTGAAGATACTAAATTGGTCCTAGGTGTGGCTGTGAGAGTGTATCTCAATGTGTATATATGTGAGTCTGCCATGTGATGGACTGGCGACCTGTCCAGGGTGTTACCTGCCTTCCGCTCAATGACTGCTGGGATAGGCTCCAGCACCCCCTGTGACCCAGGAGGTTAAGCGGCTTAGACAATGTGTGTGTGTGTGTGTGTGTGTGTGTGTGTGTGTGCTACGGGTTCCCCCGAGTGGAGAATTACTGTGGAGGCAACTCATTAATTGCAGAATTAACAATCAAATTTAAGCCTTTATCACTCTGCCACTATTTGTTTTCTACTAACAAGTGAGTAATTGTCCCACTTTTTGGGATGACCATTGAAGGATTAGGAAAACTAAGCACTTTCTCTGTGACAGATGCACAACAAAGGAACCCAGCTGCCTCTTCAAAGTTTAAGTGATTAATCTGGGAAACATTCCCATCTTGCCTTGCCATTTTACAGTATCCAAATATCATCCTGACACTACTTCAGTACTCTGAGAAAGCAGTGAAACACCTACCAGAAATCTCCACCAATAAATAAAGTTTTAAGAAATTTAATCCAAATGAAACAACATAGACAACAAGATTATTAAAGGAACTGAAATGATTTGGTGAGTAACTTTTTCCTTCAAAGACAAATGAAGACAGACTTTACCTCATGTTTCTTTCAATGTCAAGAATTTCATTGCCTTGTGCATCTGTCAGAACAAAAGAGTCTTCACTGCTCAGAGCTTCTCTGATTTTGTGAAGCATTGTTGAAACATTTGTGTCCACCTCTGTAAATCACAGTATGATGACTCTGGTGGGAATCAGCTTTCCCTCTTTAAGATCTGCAAGATGAACAGATCTGAGAAACAAAAGAAAACTACAACAATTAGAAGTAGGTTTATTTAGGTTTTAGATTTGTAAAACTAAGTTTTAGATTTTTAAAGTGGAAACCACATTGCGCACAGAAGCATCATGACAATCAGAACAAAGACTGCCATTTAACTAGATCAAGAGTTTTTGGGATTTTTAGCTGCCAACAGCTGTCACTGTTAACTCTGATTTACCTTTGAAATGATCTTGCTAATGGTGTTCTTGGGGTGCCCATATATACTGGTGCCCCAGATGTAGCTGATGGTGCAGAGCGCATAAAACTAAACTGCGGTCTGCTTGAGGTTGTTGGAGACGGTCCTGACCGCTCTATGGTCACCCCATGTACTTCTTAATGTCCTTGAGGATGAAGGTCGATGATACTGAAATGTCCACTTTCATTAGTGAAAAGTGCCAAGTTGTTACAATCTGTAAAATACAGAGTGCTGATGTTAATCTGATTCATAGAAGACAGCAAGATGAAAGTCACATAAACTGTGAATACTGCTACCATTTTCAGCCATGCTTTAAGTTAAAGTAAAACTTCAAAATACAGGGTACAATATACTTTTTCATTAAGTGCACCTCCTTGTACCTACACTCATTGTCCACTTTATCATACAGCACTCTGTAATAGGTCTTCAATTTCAGACTGCAATAAACACTACATTAGGTTTCTGCATTAAACAAATACAACTGTATGTATGGCTTTCTGTACAAACAACAATAAGATGCTAGCACAGTTATTTTAGCTTGAGGGCCCGTAGCCCTCATCTACACTATTAGCTAAACACTGACTTTTTGTTCTTAAAGTGAGACACATTCATAAAATCATAACATTTTGCTAATAAAAGTTAATTTCTAGTAAGGTAAGGTAAGGTAGGCTAAATGAACTAATTTACAGTAATGCTGTTGAGTCTAGGCTAGCTAGGTAGTTACTTACAATAGTTAGTTAGCTAGCTATCTAATCTATCTAATATGTTACTAATGAAAGACTAATCAAAGCATTTTAGGATTAACTGCTTACCTGGAAAGTCTGGCTGATATTTTCCACAGTCCTCTCGTAACGTGACTCTGTTATTACTCTTATAGAGTTGGAACGAAGCCATAATGGTAAATAATGGTAAAGTTTGGTGTAAAACCATAGCAGAACGGTGACGTTTACATGACCAGTATATCTGTTATTAACTTCCGCTAGGTATGAAGGAAGAAAATCAGTATATATCAATATGTTCTGATGCATTGGAAAGATAGAAAAAAAAACAAATAAAATCTGCATTCTCTGGTGCTTTTGATAAAATTCCAAATAGGGTCGTTCTCCGTTTTTCTATTGCAGCAGGGTTAGAAACGGAAAAACAATTAACAAAAGGCACACAATTAAAAATAATTACACACGTTGCTCATAATGTCAGATATGCCACAACAACGCTGGACCTGTAGCAGCACTCAGTATGACGTGTTTCACCATGCTGTGGGTGGTTATGCTGAGTGGCTATGTATTGAGAAGACCTGTCACTCCAAATCGTTTGATCAATAGAGAGTGCAAGTGAAAGCCCTCTTCTAAGACCCGCCCCCTGTTAACAAGTGGCAAAAGTCAGAAGCAAAAGAAAACTTGCAGAAGCAAAAGAGCGATTCCAGAAGCAAAAAATATATCAGCATAACAAGCAAATGGAAAACATTTAAATGAAAAACTGGAAAAATTAGTAATAAACATAGAATGAGAGAAAATGAATTGTAATCTTTAACTCATTATTTGTATTTGCAACATATTTTGGACATTTTGTTTCTCAATATTTTTCCTGTGGATTTTAATATTTTATTATGTCTCAGTTTTGAGCACTGACCTGGTTGGACGTCTTGAGGAGTGGCACCTCATTTTCCATCTGCAGTTTGCTCTCAAGCTCGGCCCACTTTTTGTCTTTATCTTTGAACAAAATTCTGTAGAAAAGCTATTGTGTTACATACCCAGGACATTACAAATAAATACAAAAAATGAAGTAGAAAGTTTATAATTTACTTTTCTTTTAGTATATAAATGTTTAGTCAACAAATAGAGAAATCGTACAGCTGCAGTTTTTTGCATGAACATTATTTGCTCTCCACACTGATACAAAATCCCTAGTCTTATGGATAAAACTTGGGTAAAACTAAAGTTACATAAATTGAAATGAACACTGACAGAATATAAATGGATACCTGATTTTGCTGGCTGTCTTGTCCACTCCTTGTCTGATTTTAGCTGAAAGTTGAGAAACAGATGCCAATACCAAACTGTCTAGCACAGCCTGTGTAAGAGAAAGATGTACAGCACAGGTTATCTGAGCACAACTTTAATATTAGGGCGTATCACATCTTACAGTGGATACTTTGGACAAGAAGTATCCATTTTATATCCATTTACTAATGGTCACCAACCCTCCTCCGGGAGATCTACTTTCCTGCAAAAGTCAAGTTTATTTATATAGCGCTTTTTACAACAGGCGTCATCATAAAGCAGCTTTACAGAAAAATCCATGTCCAAGCCCCCATGACCAAGCCAGTGACGATAGTAGCAAGGAAAAACTCCCTAAAAGCAAAAGGAGGAAACCTTGAGAGGAACCAAGACTCAAAAGGGAAACCCACCCTCCTCTGGTCAACACTGTATAGCAAACAACATTAGTATAAAATATTAAAAATACAAAACAGGGAAAAAACAGGTGAAGCGATTGTTATAATTAAATTGTTTGAGTTTGTGCAGTAGTATTATCATCAGAAAGGTCAGTTCATGCAGATGAGGTTCGCACAGCGTTGTAAAGCGGGAAGCTCCATGGTGGTCAAACCAGTCCAGAAGGCTGGCAAGGAGTCGGCACCCGATCAACGCAGAAGAAGCAACAGCATCAGACCACACAGTTTACAGTATTAATAGAGTGCAGCAGAGACTCCAGCAGGTCTAGCTATTACAGCCTAACTAAGAGGGAGAGCCAGAAAGGTAACAGAGACATGAGGGAACCTCTCCGCTCCACCGCCAGCAAACCTGAGTGAAAGCGTGAGAGCAGCGGGATGACAGCACCAACACTCCCATAATACTCTATGTCCATGAACCCTCAGATCGGCACCTTTTATTTAACAGGAAAAACTAATTACCAGAGGCTCAACTAAACAAATAGGTTTTTAGCCAAGACTTAAAGACTGAGGCTGTGTCTGAGTCCCTAACACTGACTGGAAGTTTGTTCCAAAGCTGGGGGGCTTTGTATGAGAAGGCTCTATCCCCTGATGAACTGTGTTAATTCTAGGTATCAGCAACTTTTGATCTAAACCGGCATGAATGTTTATAATAAGAGAGAAGTTCACTCAAGTACTGAGGGACAAGGTCGTTTAGAGCTTTATATGTCAGTAAAAGAATTTTGTAATCAACATGAAATTTAACTGCCAACCAGTGTAGGTTTGATAAAACTGGGCTGATATGGTCAAACCTTCTGGTTCTTGTGAGGACTCTGGCTGCAGCGTTCTGGACTAACTGAAGCTTGTTAAGGCTTTTGCTGCAACATCCAGACAACAAAGCATTACAGTAATCCAGCCTGGAGGTAATAAATGCATGAACTAGCATTTCTGCATCCTGTAGAGACAGTGCATTTCCTAATTTAGCAATATTGTGGAGATGCAGGAAAGCTATTCTAGAAATATTCATTATATGTGCATTGAAGGACAGATCGGGATCTATCGTGACACCAAGGTTTTTTACAGATGTACCTGATGCAACAGAGAAACTGTTAAGTTTAATTGTTAAGTTTGTTTCTAGCAGCTTTTGGACCAAGAAGAAGAACCTTTGTTTTATGTGAGTTGAGTAGGAGGAAGTTACTCGACATCCAGTCTTTTATGTCTTTTATACAGTCTTCAATCTTATTAAGTTGACGTTTAACATCTGCTTTGGTTGATATATATATAACTGTGTGTCATCAGCATAGCAGTGGAAATTGATGCCATGTTTACTGATAATGGTACCCAGCGGTAGCATATATAATGTGAATAATCTAGGTCCTAAAACAGAGCCTTGTGAATCACCATACTTCACTTTTGCAAGAACAGATGATTTGCCCTTTACATTTACAAACAGATAGCAATCAGTCAGCCATGCTTTTTTGTAATTTCCAGATGCACACCTCTAACTGTATAATCTTCTCTGTCAAGCACGAAAATAACTCGAAAATTCTCACAAACAAAGCTAGTAAAACTGCTGCCACTAGTGACGGAGAAAGAAGCATAGCTAAACATGCTGCACTCAGAGCAAAGCAACAGCTGGAACTAGACTCTGCAGGAACGTAGACACTTCCAGGACCAGGGATGGTGACCACCACCACCATTTTCCAGTGTGAATACACTACTTGCACTGAAAGTACAGGTACAGTAGTAAACAACATGCGACACATGATAAAGAGGACCCACCTCATCCCTGTTCCAGGTCTGACGACGGATGGCTCGAGGCTCTTGGTTGCTGGAGCTTCGAGGTCTCAATTCAACAGCTGTGCTGCTGATATCTGGACTGCTGCTTAGCCTGTCCACAAGCACTCGCCCCTCAATCTCAAACAGAAACAAAAGGAGTATTTGGAATTAGTTTATATATAGCCCTTTTCAACTTTTACCGTTTGCTTGACATACACTGCCCTCCACAAATACTAGCACTCCTGGTAATCATGAGCAAAATGAGCTGTAAAAAACATTATTAATTACTGAAAAACAACTAAAAAAACCAAAAAACTAAATCTTATGATGAAATAAATATTTTCTTAAATCTGTGTGTGCCACAATTGTTGGAACCTTTACAAATTTTTAAGAGTGAAATCTAACTGAAGTGTATTCCTGTTCATATTTTATATTGTAAAGTTCATCTGACTGATTAGGAACACCTAAATGGTCAGCCATGATTTTCTGTTTCACTTGGGAATATATACCAGAGAATAAAGACCAGAGAATACAGCAATAATGTGCAACAAAAGGTTGTTGACCTGCACAAATCAGGAAATGGCTAGAGAATAGTTGAACAGTTGCAAATGCCAATTTTCACTATCAGGTCAATTATTAAGAAGTTTAAAACAAGTGAAGATGTTAGGAATCTGCTGGGAAGAGGACATACACCATATGGACAGAAATATTGGGACACCTAGACATTACATCCACAGGAGCTTTTCTGACATCTCATTCTAAATCCATAGGCAGTACTATGGAGTTGGTCCCCCCTTTGCATCTATAGCAACTTCCACTTTTCTGGTAAAGCTTTCTACAAGATTTCGGAGTGTGTTTTTGTTCATTCATCTAGAAGAGCATTTGTGAGGTCAGGCAATAATGTTGAGGGCCTGGCTTGCAATCTCTGTTCTAGTTCATCCCAAAGGTGTTCAGTGGGGTTGAGGTCAGGGCTCTGTGCGAGCCAGTCAAGTTCTTTCACACCAAACTCACTCAACCATGCCTTTATGGACCTTGCTTTGTGCACTGATGCACAGTCATGCTGGAACAGAAAAAGACCTTCCTCAAACTGTTCCCACAAAGTTAGAAGCATAGAATTGTGCAAAATGTCTTGGTCTGCTGAAGCATTAAGATTTCCCTTCACTGGATCTAAGACGCCTAGGCCAGCACTTGAAAAACAACCCCATAGCATTATACCTCCTCCACCAAACTTTACACTTAGCACAATGCAGTCACACAGATACCGTTCTCACTGGCATCTGCCAAACCCAGACTCATCCATCAGACTGCCAGATAGAGAAGCGTGATTCATCACTCCACAGAATGCCTTTCCACTGCTCCCTTTTGTGAAGCTCCTGATGCACAGTTCTTTTGCTGATGTTGCTTCCAGAGGCAATTTAAAACTTGTTAGTGAATGATTTAACAAAGGATAGGCACTGTGTGCATCAACACTCACTGGCCCCACTCTCTGAGTTTGCATGGTCTAAGCTGTCATTGCTCCTAGGAGTGCCATGTTTAAAGTCAATGAGTTCTTCAGTATGATCCATTCTACTGCCAGTGTTTGTCTATTGAGACTGGAAAGCTATGTGCTTAATTTTATCCACCTGTTAGCAATGGTTGTGGCTAAAACACCTGAACTCAATAATTAGGAGGTGTGTCCCAATACTTCTGTCTATATAGCGTATGTCTATATTGATCCCACACACAGGGAGGAGGATGGTTTGAATCAAGGATCTCCAAGGATCCCAGATATGGAATTGCAGACATTCTTTAGGTCGTGTGGTCAGAACATCTTCCAAACTACAATTAAACACCACCTGTATAAGTAGTAATAGAACCCGGTATACATCAAAATAATGGATGAGGTATGCAATGACATCACGTGGGAAAAAATGTAAAGAATTTTTCCATGACATAACATGAGAAATTTGTGAAATTATTTCCATGAGGTGCTAGGGGAAAAGTGTAAGCAAATTTTCTGCTGAAATGTGTTTTTTATGTACATTTTAAAGTGTTGTAGGTGTGAAAAAAATCGTATATAATTATGTAAAACATTAAGCAAAAACTTGGCAGGTAGTGTTGGTCCACATGATGATGTGTGGGAATTTTAGGAAAAAATCTCAATCCCAAGTCTTGTCTGGTATGAGTGTGGGAAGAGTTTTGAAAATGTTCCCAGGGTGTGCTGTATGAAAGTTTTGAAAAAATTTACATGATGCAATGCCATGGTGTAATGGTATGTTAGAGGGGTTGTGGTGTGCGTGGTGAATTGACAAGACCTCTCACCTTTAAGAGTGACTAATAATTGAAGAGGTGTTGGAGTTCTTTTTGCATGAATAAAAACAGGTAAAGAGGACCATGGTTGTTGTGAAAAGCCAGCCACTATTGAACCGTTTGCAAAAATTATAATACCCCACTGGGTGCGAAACAGAGGAAAAAGACCTTTGTTTGGAACCAGTAGTGTCTTGTAAGACTCCGACCCTGAAGCTGGTCACCAAGAGGTCAGAAATGGAATAAAAATAATACCATTCATTTGTGCTACGTTTGTGCTGGTTTGTAGTAATCATCGTTTGTGCTGGCAGCATTTTTGAGAAATTACACATCATATTTTCTGTAAAGTCACTCAGCCCTATCAACATCTAAATTGTACAAAAATTTTCTTATTTGTTTGTGCTACATTTGTGCTGTTAAAATAAATTAGTGATATTTTAAATCTTTCAGTTATAAAGCCAAAAAGGTTTAATGAGTGACCTCTCTGAGCCCCCCATCAATGTCCAAATTGCCAAAATGGTCACATTAGTTTGTGCTGCGTTTGGGCTGCTAAAATAAACATTTGCGCTATTTTAATTCTCAATTTATTAAGCAATAAGGTTTGACATCACTCAGTCCAGCTAAATCGCACCAAAGTCTCATTTGTTGCGCTGCATTTGTGCTGGTTTGTGCGTTAAAAGAAATGTTTATGCTGTTGTATTTATCAAGTTATAGGCTAGAGGTTTTTTTAAATAAATGTCACTCAGCCCCCCATCAACTTCCAAATTACACCAAAATGGTCTCTTTGTTTGGGCTCCATTTGTGCCGTTAAAAGATTTCTTTAGTTCTTCTAATTCTTAAGATATTGGATAAACTGTTTTTGTCAGGAGTGATGACATCATTTACCACAGGATTGGCACTGGTTGATGATGAAGATCTGAGAAAGGCCTTTTTGCCTCCTGAGAAGCTGCTGTCCCTGATTACAACAGAGTTATCTGGCTTTTTCAGCTTCAATTATTCACTACTCATTGCACTGAGTAGAAGTCAAGAGCTGACTGAAAGTGATGATTAAAAACTACTACTTTGCTCTTTAAAAGCAATTTTTTTTATGAATCAAGGGTTTTTGTAAGATTGCACTTAGTTTAAGGAATAAAACATTACTGTTGGTCCTTCAATGTATCATGTGTGCTTGTGCTAACTACTGGAACCATCAAGAACACAGTAGACTTTAACAGGAAACAATGTGGGCTTTATCCCAACAACACTCTGGAATCTTTGTGGATATTCCCTCTTGGTTCCATGCCAACTTAACCACGACTTGTCCAGTCTCAAAGATTTCCATAGAAAAATTGTAAAAATTATAATAAATTAAAAGATTACATTTCAATTTAGTTCTTATAACCATACAAAATTTCAAAGCTGTGTAGTTAAAAAATAATAAATAAAAAATAATAATTTGAAGTTTGCCCAACTCAGTGATTGAAATGAGCTAGAACATTAAATATGAAAAACAGAATTTTTTTTATAATATTATTTTATAATATATTGATTATAATATTAAAAAAAAGAACATATTACTTTTAATAAGATGGTGCAGAGCTTCTGGTTATTACAAAGCTTATTTTGGAAATCCAGTGTTTTTTCCAGTGAAGCTTTATTTGATTTTTATTGTGCTTCTTAATAAAAAAAAAAGTAACCTTTAAAAAATATTACAGCATGAAGCAGTCAAAGCACATCTGTAATGTTTTTATATGTTAACATCAGACATAACGGTTCTCATTCTGGAAAAAGCACAGACGAATGAAACTTCTTTGGTGCAGTTTAGCTGCTGATGGGGGTGGAGTGACATCACTCATTTTAACATTATAGCTTTATAACTTGAGAATTAAAATAGCACAAATGTTTCTTTTAACAGCACAACCCCGCACAAACAAATGAGACTAATTTTTGTGCAAGGTATATTGGGGCTATGAGTGATCACAGATAATAAAATATAATGTTTAATTTCTCAACAATGCTGACAGCACAAATGATGATTCATACAGCACAAACTAGCACAAAGGAATAGTAGTATTTTTATTCCATTTCTGACCACATACGGGAAGGGGGGCAGCTTCACAGAGGTTGATTAAAAGTGTGTCAGAATCGTCCTTACAGACAGCTCCAGCAGAGATAATTTGCACCTCAGACAAAAGAGAAAAAAATACTATTTTCTCTATTATTTTCAGCAGATAAGTGTGTTATGTGGGTGGTTATCTGTTGCTTGCAATGTACAGATATTCACTTGTGTATCCCAATGAGGGGCCAAATTTATAAACTGGTACAAAACAGTAAAATGAGGCAATTTTTATTTAAAAAAAGAAAAAATCCAAGTACTGTCAAAACGACTTTATGATTTTAAGAAAGGTCTGCATGATATTCAGAGAAAGTGTTCAGTCTGTTGAAACCATCAGCCCCTTTCAGAGTCAACTCAAGTCAAAGTTTATTTATATAGCGCTTTTTTACAAAGGGTCACAAAGCAGCTTAAAATCCAAGCCCCCATGAGCAAGCCAATGGTGACAGTGCCAAGGAAAAACTGGTAACACTTTCTATGAATGTCACCTTTGTAAACATCTATAAACACATTTATAACATGTTATAATGTATTCATAAGGCATTATAAACATGGTTATAAATATTTAAAAAAGAATTACACTGAATTACACTTTATAGCCATGTTTATTATACATTATGAATTGTTAATATAATGCATTATAAATAGTGTTAATAACGTTATGTTATAATGTCAGTGCCAAAGAAGTCAGTCCCAGCTTGGAGAGCATAAAGACAAATACCAAGCTGACGGTGGTGTACATTGACTTTCCCACATTGGG